ATAATAATAATAATAATAATAATAATAATAATAATAATAATAATAATAATAATAATAATAATAATAATAATAATGATTGACTTGAGTGACTGACGCTCTAGGTGCATGGTTTGCACCCGGCTGATGCACAAAAAGAACACCAGCAAAGACTGTGATAATAGAGATAATAATAATAATATTAGTAATAGGAATGTTGTTGTGTTGTTTGGCTTGGCTTCGCGAACGAAGATCAGGAAGGTTGTTGCCCATGTTGACTGCAGGCTCGTTTATGGCTGAGGAGGCCGATGCGAGACAGGCAGGTCCTCGTGCAGTGTCGGAACATGTAGGTCAGGTCTGGGTCTGGGTGGAAGCAGCTTGAGCTTTCCTCCTCTGTCGTTTGTCTTTGAGGGAGTCTCCCCGGTTCTCTTCAAACTGTGAAGCAGCCTTGTGGACTGTGTGACGCCAGGCGTCTCCGCGGTCAGCGGCCATGTCAGACCACTGCAGGCAGTCTATGCGACATACATTGAGTGACTTAATAATAATAATAATAATAATAATAATAATAATAATAATAATAACAATAATAATAATGATGATGATGACTTTAATACAGAATCCACAGAGTGGCTCTTCGCCTGTACACTAAAAGCTATCTAAACTAATATTCTAGAAATTTACAAATGTTAACAATTAAATTCTATGGGAATAGTTAAAATAAAACAAGAGAGAATGAATAATAATAATAATAATAATGATAATAATAATAATAATAATAATAATAATAAAATAAAAATAATAATAATAAAATAAAAAATCAATCCGGCAGATTGAAAAAATTGTAAGGTTCGGTTCAAAATACTCGGACTCAATAAAAATCAGGATTTTGTTAAACCATGCCTGATCTACAGAGTGCCCTCCAGTTCTCAGTTTGCATTTCTTTTTATCCCTCCTCACTAATTCCTGTCATCAAAGTTCCCTTTCGAGAAAACTTGTCCCGTGTAGACCGGGGTCACTCGCCTCACCCAGCTACCCTTAGGCTCGATTTCAGCCGTCTCTCTCTCGGGTCCGATCTTGTTGTTAGACAACTTTTCCTACCTCGGCGAAGCGCTCACATGAGAAATGAAAAGATGGCTCGGCTAGAAGGAGCACCTGCCTGGCCAGGTCATCCTTTTTCAATGGTAGAGTCTCCCTCCTAGTAGGACCAACTTTTCTCCATATAACACACTGTGGCTCGCCCGCGTGGGTGGACTCGGTCAAGACGAGACAATCGTAGCATGACCAAGGGCCGTTCTCAATCTTGTCTCGCACAAAGCATTGGCAGATCCAGGGGAGAGGCCCGGGGGGGGGGGACCCAGCCCCCCTTATTTTTAGACCAACTGAGTCCTCTTTTTTCCACTCAAAAAGCAAAGTTCTCCGATTCGAAGCTAGGATGCATGGTTACCCTTCAAGATGGCTCTTGAGCCGAGCCAACTGTTTCTTTCTCATATAAATGGTTTGCGCGCTTTGTAAAGGAATGTATGAAACTCTGGCTCGCCCAGGGTATATATAGTAGCTCGGTGACATCTTTCTTCATATGAAAGGGGCCTTAATGACCCCGGGGCTTCTTACACGGCTCCCTCGTTTCTCACAAACAACTGTCCCACTCTATACCGTTGTCTATACATCTTCATAACAGTAAGTGCTCATCCTATGCTGGTGTTGAAGACGTTAATCCACCAAAACTATAGACCTGATCACGGTTTTGGACGCCATCATGACGTGACGGGTAGGCAACCGCGTTATAGTGTTTGTACGAGAATCTTATGCCGAATAATTTCCTTAAAGGGCTGTTCTAACAAAAATATGAGTTTAAAACTAAACCTTCACTTCTTGTTACTTGCGCTAGAACCATTTTTTAAAAATTTTTGTACATTTGTGTGTAAAAACGTTTTTTTCCTGCCTACTAAAATTTCCCGGGAAAAATTGCAGACAAATATATAGGAAATCCAAAGCAAGCAACTGGAGAAATTTAAGCACAGGTACGGGCCACCAAAACTTTGTGAGTAAAATCCTTTGCTGTGGAGTTTTAGTTTACATTCCCTACTTTCTTCATAACAGGCGTTTTACGAAAATTATTCGACATTAGATTCTCATGCAAACACTATTTATTTCTCACACTATTGCCTACCTGAGAAGAGGTTTTTTTTTGGAGTTGATTCTAAAGGACTGCATCAAAGTTCAGGAAAAGAAAAAGAAAGTTGTGTTGTGTTCCCGTCCTCGACGAAAACATGAAATTAGGCACTTTCATGTTGTAGTCGTGGAGCGACGGCAAAGAAATGTACAAAAAAGCGTGATGCACGTGCAAAGTTGTTGTTTTGCTTATCTAAACCTATAGCTTTTTTTTGCCGTCGCCGTCGTCGGATCCTAGGGCCTGTTTACATGGAGGTGGGGGACCCCAGGTCGGTGAGGTAACCCGCTTTGGTGGGATAACCGGCCTGTTCATATAATCGCTCATTTTAATTTGATCACGTTTACATGATCGGTGGGATGACCTGCCGAGGGTTACCTCACGTACCTGGGGTTCCCCACCTCCATGTAAACTGGCCTCTCGTGCCATTCTCTCAAATTTCTTTGAAGAACAGTGAACTCAAAACCACACACAATACCATTCGGGATTGTCGCGTGCACTTTTTCCGACAACCTTTCTCGAAATAGCTGTATATAAACTGCTGAATCAGACACTGTAATACAATATACAAGTCAGAGTTTTTTGTGAAAGGCTAGATTTCAAGCAAAGTCATCATCACGTATGCTAGCCTGACGGGAGACTAGAGGGGGAAAGGCCCCCCTCACCCTCCCCACCCCCCCCCGTTTTCCCGGTCTTCAATTTAACTCGCTCCTCACCGACGGCCGCGCTCTACTATCTGAACGACTGGAACAGGCTACACCTATGCCTTTGCACTAAGCCCTTCATTTCTCAGCCTCCAGTACTTTTAGCAAGAATGGAGGCAAAAGAGAAAATGTTTTGTTTTTTAAAAAGATCAATAAAATAATAAATTCCATGAAGTATTTATACGCAAAAAATGGTTTAGAGTTGCACAGGTCTTCTTACATATATAGTAAAGGAATAAGAACGAAATATGTCCAAAGCCTATCAAAACTAAATTTATAATAATATTAATCACATGTAACAACTAAAACATTAAAAGATGTAACAAAACCAAAAAGAAATGTGCATGTAGTTGTAGAACTCCTATAATAATAAGGCCTATTATACATGAGAAATACCATCCAGGATGAGTTTTGTCTAAGTGTCACCCTTTCCAAAAAAAAAAACTCTTGGCGGACATGGTTGAAAACGCATAGACATGTCGCTCACCACTAGCCTTAGGCCAATGTAGTGACGCTCAGAAAACTGTTGACTGCTCCTAGGAAGAATTATTGTGTATGTGTTTTTTTGTCCTCAAATTGAGGACGGGGAAAAAATCATCTCCGGACTCACTCACCATGTAAATAATAAGTAGAAAAGAACCAGATGTGGAGAGGAAATTCATCCGAGGATGAAACTCATCTGTGATGTGCTCTCTCACGTAGAAAAGCCGTAACTGCACAGCAGTTCACTGCATTCAAGTTTCTTGAAGAAACTAGCAGACTTAACATTAAATAAAAATACTAATAAATAAGGATTTTGGTATCAATGCAAAAAAATATATTACCAACCCAGTCTATTAAAAATGCCTAGTTCGCTATTAATTATATAGAAGTATGACAGTCCTATTTATTGTTATTTACATTGTCCTTTCTTCTAATTTTTCATCTTTTGGCAAATTAAAGTTATTGCCCTTCTGCGACTCTTGTTTATTACTTTGAGGCTGTGCACTTTAAGGAAGGGTAAGTTAATTGATAAGTATGTCTTTTTTTTATGTACTGTGGTGGGTGTTGTTTTAAGATGTATAGTAAAAACCCATGAGCGCTGTAAGAACCTGCATTATCCTAAGTTAACAGCCTAAACAGAAAGTTACATAAATGGTAAGTTAGCACAAATTTAGGCTAGGTTCTTATTAGGCTGTTATTTTCTGAAAAAAAAAAATGCATTGTGGTTAAGAGAATTAATGGTATTCAGAGGATGGCGACTTGCATCATATCTTATCATTTTGCCCAAGTTGTTAGATAGATTTTAGAAAAAAAGTACCTGTTTCAAATTTTAGGCTAAACAGGTTTAATGTATGGAGGAGGCCTAACTGGCAAATTTTCGCCTAACCTCTCTCTGCAGTCAAACAGTACCGGAATGCATGTTTCTTTTGGTCAAGGAAATGAACCTGCCATTCAGAATAAAACAACACTCACTATCAACTTTTTTCTATTAATCTTCTCTTAAATGTTTTCCTCAAGACTGGTGAGTATGTCTTTAACATACTGCACTATATCTGCAAAAGCCTCATCACCTTCATCCGTTCTCGCTGGTCCACCTTCAGTTGCAGTCGTCACAAAGCCATGAAAAGATTTGTAGTTCTTGTATTTGACTGGAACCTCTGCTTTTCGCAATCGCTCTGAATAAAGAAACCCTTCATCCCTTAACACATCAAACTCTGCAGTAATGATAAAGGTTGGCGGGATTCCCCTGAAGTCCTCAGCCATCAAAGGAGATCCTCTGAAATGTGTTAAAGCTTCTGATGTCCTTGAATCCAGGTCTATTCGAGGCTTTTCTTGTAAAGTTTCTGAAGTTGGTTTCCCTAGATATGACATGTACTTTGTGCCTCTAAGATGTTGCGAATGATTGCCAGAAAGAAGGATGTCTGTGAGGTCTGTTGAACCACTAAGGTACAGGGAAACAAAATTTGCATGATCTTCTCTAGAAAGGATATCATTATCTGCATTTGTCACATAGGATGGCAGATTAAAGTCCAGAAATTGCAGGGAAGGATAGATAAGAATCTAAAAATAAAAATGCATAAAGGCACATTTACTTTGTAAATAATACGCAATCAGCTTTAGTAATAACCAGAAAGTCATTATTTTACAATAAATCCATTTGCCATGTCTTTTTTGTCATGGCTTACAGGTGATTTTGAAATGTGGTAACAACAAAAAAGTGATCAATGAGTTGCTCCCTGATGTTACATAGCCACATTTTGACAACTTCTAATACTGTATCTACAGTGTATACACCAATGTACCTGAACAGTTACATAACTTTTTCTACACATTATGAAAGAAAAGAAAACTTAGGTTACCAGATACCTTTGGGGGTGTCTCAAAGGCAAGTAATGCTCAGTAGCTCGTTCCTGTTAAACTGCAGATGATTAAAACCCTACATCAAATTAAAGTTTATTAAACTGGCTTTCCTAAAAAACCATCAGATTAAAAAAAATGCACTGTCAGTTTTTCTAGGATTTTTTAATGCAAACATCCGAATCAGCTTTCGAAAACTAAAACTCACAGCAGTGTTATTTTGTTTTGTTCTAGTCATGCTCATAGCAGTCAAGCCCGGGCAAACCCCAGTACCCTGCCCTTAAGAACTTGACTCAGTTCAGATGATTATGCATTTTTTGTTTTATCCTGTGTTATCATTTTGAAGGGAACACAGGCCTCAGTAGTGTTTGACCCTTTAAGCCCTAATATCCAAATACAAATTCTCCAAACTGATCTCCATACATATCCTTAAATAATGTGTTGAGAGAATTTAATAAACGATCAAGGCATTTTCTCTTTGGTGATCATTTTATTACTTCTCATAACCTGATCTCTTGACAATGTATGGATACCGTTTGCAAAAAATGGATTTTGGTCAAGATTTTAGGGTTTTATGGATTGGGAAGGTGTTTTATATAAATTTACTTGTACTCACAGAGCACATTTGCTGTTCTGGTGTCCCAAGAGGGGGGTGGGGGAACTCCCACAAATGAGCTAGATAGGTATCACCATATGTCCCCCCTTATAGCTATGGCTTTTGAGGGTCTCCATCCTTAAAAAGTAGGGTATCATTTTTGCCCTTTGTCTGCACTCCCTTCCAGGTATGATCATAAGATAAGAAACCATTATTATACCAGCTAAAACTCAAGTGCAGAAATACCCAGCCACAGGAGAAATAAATCATACCACAGAGCATTAGGAAAGTAATTTAACAATGATTTGTGTGTTTCCATTAAATTCTCCATTTTTGTTTCTACCCTTGAATTGGGTATTATATTCCAGGTTTGGGCCTTACAAAGGGTACCAATTTTCACTTGGCTCATCTTTAAATACTAAAATAGGGTCAAGGTTTAAAAACCTTAGCTGCATACACCTATCCGAAATTCATAGAAGCACCCCCCCTCTCTCATGGGGTGTTCCTACCTTAACTAGTAAAGGTAACTAAAAAAATAATAAATAAATTTTTCAGCGTGCAAAGAAAGTAGTGCTCAATAGCCCGGGGCTAGTGGATTTTGCTATCGGGCTAGTGGATTCTGTTTTTAACTTGCCCGACCAGCAAGTGATGTCTTTTGAGGAATTCGCATAACAGAAGAACTGTGAAATCAATTCTGCCAGTCAAAAAGTTTTTGGGGCTTGTTGACCTGACGTCTGGGCTAGTAAATGCTAGCTTCGGCTTGCCCAAATGGCAAGCTGTAAAAATGATTTTCTTTGCACCCCGTTTTTTAATAAAGAATTATGTAGTTGACCTCAAACTTATCATACCTGGGCTTTTAAATACTGTGTTTTACAGTGCATTTCAGACACTGTTGCAAGATAATGAGATACTGCTGCAGCCAGATTCCCACCTGCACTATCACCAACAATCATAACACGTGAAACATCGACACCATGTTTTACGCCAGTATTAAGGACACCTACTGCGACACTGTAGCAATCGTTGAACTGAGTGGGGTAAATGTATTGAGGAGCTTGCCTGTAACTACAGAATTGAAAAGAAGATTTGTGAGGACGTAAGAACATGGTAGGGATATTCTTTACAAGGATGCAGCTTTCATGTTTTTCTAAAGTTTAAAGGGGTTGTGTCACGGCCTGCTAGTTCATTTTGTTTTTATAATGTCAGTTAATTGTCCTTTTTCACTTTGAAGCTTGAGAAATTGCGAGTGTGCCCATTGTACACCATTTTTCTCAATATCGACCAAAGTAAAACTGACAGATTGATCAATTATTGATAAATGTAAACACCTTATGTGTACTGAATTTAACCCTCTAAGCCCTAAGAGTGATCAGCATCAAATTTCTCCTTGTGATATCAATGCTTTGTAAAACAGAGTGGGCATGAGAATTACAGACATGATAACAAAAAATGAATTTGTTTGATGTTTTATCAACTTCTTCCCACTACTTCTGAAGAAAATGAATAGGGGCAACAAATGAGAATTCCAATTTTGATCTTAAGGTTTAAAGGGTTAAAAAATTAGCTCATTTACAGCAAATTCCACCTAGCTGTTGAATGGATTTTACTTGCCAACTTAGTCAATAGTGTTACTTACTTTGCACTCACAACAATGATTTGGGCAGAGACAGCCAGTCGGCTGCAGAAATCATCATAACCATCTGGAATAAAAAGTAAATAAAAGATACCATCACGGTTTTACTTATAAAGGCATATGGGTTTAATATTATTATCAACTTTATATTTTTTTTCTTTCTCATGTGCTTGCCTTCTACAGCAAAGAGATAACATTTCATGTTGCCTTGAATGGCATACACTGTCAATGATCATCACTGTCAAAATACTTACTACTGACACTGTGAAGGAAAATCTCCTTTCATTAAGAGAGAATTAAAAGCAGAATATAATGACAAGGAAAACCCTTGGGGCATTAAGGATTAAAATCTACCATAATTTATTATTGTATTTTTGATCCAACTCTTACTCATACATAAAAACACAGACAAACTATTAGCAACCTTAACCAACAAGTCCAAACAGCCATTCATCACGAACTGCAGATGGCAGTAGAGGTGGGAGGCGAGAAGAGACTACATGTGTACATGTGTATGTGCCACACAAGTAAATTTCTCATACCTTGATAATACATGTATTTATTCTTTACAAGGATGCGGGAGGCGAGAAGAGACTACATGTGTACATGTGTATGTGCCACACAAGTAAATTTCTCATACCTTGATAATACATGTATTTATTCTGCAACAAGGAAATTTTGGGAGTGGGAGGCGAGAAGAGACTACATGTGTATATGTGTATGTGCCACACAAGTAAATTTCTCATACCTTGATAATACATGTATTTATTCTGCAAACCTAATTTTTATGTACACTGAGTGGGTGCCAAAACTTTTTTCATTGAAAATCTATGAAAAACAAGCAGCAAACCACAGATGTCAAGGCTGTGATAATGAAGTGCAAGGTGTAAAGGCTATCTCATTCAAGGTATTCTGAAAATGCATCAACCTCTGGAGCCACGATAATAGAGATAAATACATTTATTATATAAACACTAATGAAATACCAAGTGAGCTTTCGCGCGAAAACTTGATATCTTCACATGTGAAAATAACATGTTATCTTCACATGTGAAAATAACACCATTGCTATGGCTTCATAATAAACTGCACCTTTCAGACCAAAAAACCTTTTTAAGTAAAATGGTTTGGCATTTCATTGGTGTTTATATAATAAATAGAATGTTACATGGTCGCTTGGAGATACAAAATTTCGCTTCTCGTGTTGAAAAAAATAAATTACTCGTTCGCTACACTCACTCGTGAAAAATTTTTCAACACTCGAAGAGAAATTTCGTATCTCCACGCAGCCATGTAATATCCTCCATGTACATGAAAAGAAGTAGGACTCACCTAAACTTCCCCAAGTCCATCCTCCACCGTGAAAATAAATTAAACCTGGTAACAAATCTTGTTTATTAGATTCATTTCCCGTATGCTTCTTTGTTTCATTCACAGGCTTGTATATTCTCACACCAACACCAAATAACTCAGTGTCATTGACCTCCAAAAACTCAGCATAACTATCATTCTTGTAAAAACGACTCGTAAATGAAAGTAAAGAGGCCATATTTGAGTAATAGTCATCACTTATTCCAAGAAGTGTAGCGAGGTAACCCTGAAAAAGAAAGATAAGACATCTCTTTTCTTTGTTATTACAGTCATTGAAGCTGCTGTTCAGTTATTTTTTCTCAACTTTTTAAAAGGAGGACTGGTGGAGGATTTATAGGAGGGCCTGCGGGAACCATGCCGCACCATAGTTCCAAAACCACATGTGGCAGGGTTATAAAAACCTAGAGATACAGTGTATACCATAAAGCCCTAGCTTGTGCCACAGACAAATCTAAATCTCTGGTCATGTTTGCATGTGAGCCAGTGCTGAAATCCTTCTACTTGGCCCCCCAACATGTACCAGGAATTAAGTACAAAATATGTGCCATGGTTGGCCTGTTAAAAAAACATTGTTTGATTGACTAATCAAGTTGGAGGGAAATTGGAAATGCACTTCCACTTAGTGGTGCGTGGAGTCCATTGGGGGCCGAGAAAGAGGATCTCAGCACTGCTTCAAAGGCATTACTAGTCAGCGTTAGTAAGTACATCTGCGACACAGGCTAGGTTACTTAAGGTTACAATTGACAATTAGATAAATTAAAAGGACACCTATTAATAAAACAGTATTTAAAATGCTCAGTCCTAATTTGATGAAGTACAAAGGAGTGACCACAATTCCTTAGTAACCTTGTTTTACAGGGTGGAAGGAGATCCACCAAAGGGTCCTCAGCGGAATTTGTGACGTTCTTCCACAACTTATTATCTGAGGCCTCTAGAAGACTAAAAATAGGTGTGGCCTCCTTGAGAAAGCCAAAACGAACTGGTCTCTCCTGAAACTTATCAATTTTGGAAAGATACTTATCATAACTTGCAACACACCATACTGAAATGTAGAAGTAAAAAGAAGTATAATCAGACTATGGAAGAGGTGGTCTAGACTATGACCATATTTCTTGTACACTTGTACTACCGTAAAATTCCGAAAATAAGCCCCGGGGCTTATATTATTCAAAGGCCCTTTTTGAGGGGCTTATTTTTGGATGGGGCTTATCTACGGAGGGAAATTTGCGTCTCAAAATCGATTGGGCTAGCCTTATAGTTGGAGGGAAATTTACCGTTTTTGCTTTGTTTTACTTTGTATTTGAGGGTAATTTCCTAGTACAAGCCCACGGGGGGCTTATATTTGGAGGGGCGATTTAACGGAGGGTTTTTTGCGTTACAAGTTTGGGGGGCTTATATTTGGAGGGGCTTATATATGGAGGGGCTTATTTTCGGAATTTTACGGTATGTCACTGATATGTGCATATGCCTTTCTGCTTTGCCAATCCACAACTGATGAAAACTCCAAAAGAATCTACATGTAGCTATAGAATAATAAAATTGACGAAAACTTTGCTAGTACCCGTAAACTGTTATATTGATATTTTTTCAGTCATCCATGGCTACAAGCATAAATATAAAGATCTCTATGTGAGAACATTTATAAATTAAGACTATACACTATTTTGTAGAGATCTTTAAGGGCAAACATTGCTTTCAGACCTTTAACCAGCCAAAATTACTGAAGCTTTAGCTAAAGATCTGTTGTCTAGTAACAACCCTCTGTACAAGGATAGACCCATGCGCGTAGTGTGGGAGCTTGCTGGTCGTTTCGATACAAGTCAATTCAGTCGAGATGTAAATAGTTTCGCGTTCTTGGCTTATAGACCGGTAATATTCACGAAATACTTATTCAGCTCCAAAGTCTATAAGTTCGTTCCAAGCAAAATGACATACACGTAACTCCTAAATTTGA